ATTCAGTAATAGCCAAATGAAACCTTAATAAAATGTATTAAATCTGGAGTTTTATCCTCAGAGTATGCTTCACCTGACTTCTGTCTCTCTTCCTAAATATATCCTCAATACTTCTTAGTCTTTCTGTTTACGTAATTGGTATATTTCAGATTCATACCTCAAAAGCCATCAGTCATCAAATACACACAAGCGCAGAAAATGACAACCTTTCTTGAGGCAGATTTAATTTGTGGCTCCTGCTCTCAGCCCTCCCGGTTTACCTTTCAGCTGTGCTCTTGGACCTTTGGTCCTGTAACTCCAACTGGCAACAGGATGCTCCTGCCTGGCTGTCCTCCTGTTTTCCCCCAGTATCTTTCCCATCAGCATATGCAAATCAGGATGAATCTAAGTAATGGTGCCAGTTGCTCCACTAAGCTCCCCTTTCAGGCCATCACTAGGTCCCATGTGTGTTCTCTGGCACTGTTCACCAACCCACCCTCTCCTTCTATCTCTGCAGAGCCAACATTTCAATCCAGGCTTTTAATATCACTCATGTAGATAGATTTCACTAATTCCAATTTCTCCCAGTTCCACTCTGACACATGGTTAGCAGATTCTTTCTAAAATAATTTTTTTTTAAATTATGGCATTCTATTTTTTTTCAAAAACAAATCAAATACTTTCCGTAGCCTATTGAAGTTAACAATCCAAGGCCTAGCCCTTTAGGCTGTTCCACAATCTGGTTCCCTGTTACCTCATTGATCTTGTATTTCATTTTCATTGATCCTTATGAAATTTATTGACTGTCTATTCTGTGTTGACACTACACACAAGTTTGCCAACCACATGCAGCATAAAACTCATTTATTGGATGTCTCATATTTCCAGGAACTGTTAGCAGGTCATTAAAGAAAGTTGTCTCTTAAGTCCTCAGAAGAGTTGCATAAATACCTGAATCTACAGAATTCCTGGTTCCTCTCTGTAGATGAGGAAGGTGGCCTGGCAGAACTGGGATCTCAAGCCTCATGGGACACCACTTCCTGATGGCAGACATTGCATTTTCATGTATCCCATGGATTTTTGCTCCCTCATCAATGCCAGTATATTTCTGATCTCTGTGACACAGCCCCTCTTGCATCTCTGTTCATGGTTCTTCCTTGTTTATTGTTATCCAAAGCAGACGCTAATGAGAGGGGAAGCCATCTTCCACACTCCTACTCACTATGGTCATCCCTTCTTCTAGCTTGTAGCACTTATCACATGTGTCCTCCATTTCCCAACCACACACAATTTTCTGGTCCATTTTACTTCATCATTCAACTCAATGAAATGTTTTGACTGCATTGTTTCCCCAAACAAATTGCAAGTACTTGGAGAGCTAACTAGGCTCATATATTATTGCATGCCATAAAATACCTACTACCAAATTGTGTGTAGACTATGTATTCACAAGCACCTGGTGCCTTTGGCACAGCCTTTGAAAAGAAATCTCTTCCAATAATGGTTGATTATATCTAGGCACAAAGTCTCACCAATGGTGCTTTCTTTATGTCACCCTCTTTGCTTAACAAGCCTCTCCTCCTCTTCTCCCCAGACCTGATAATTACTCATCCCCTAAAATTTAACAAACTTATCACTTGTCTGGAAAGGGTCATGCAACAGCCATGCACAGTCAAGTTTTGGCATCTGACTTCTGTGTTCTCATAACATTTGATGAATGCTTCTGTGTCATGATAAATCAAAGGATTAGATTCCTCTGTCTGTTTTTATATCGTTAGATCACGTTATCCTTAGGGAAAAGGACTTTATGTTCTTAGTGCTTAGCACAAATACTGGCTTATGGAAAATGACTCATACATATTGACAAGAGAATGAATGAATGGTTAAGTGAATAAATGCAAGCAAACAAAGCAATTCTCATATGTTTCTAACAGCCTGCATTAAGGGAAGTAAGGTACAGAAAGTATCCATGGAAACAGTGTGAAATACAGGGAGCCTATCTTACTTACCCAAGTCTTTCTTATGAGCAGGAATTAGCTAAAATGATAGTGTTTCAATGCTAGCTCAATTTAATTTTTTTCAGGGAGGTGCTGAGGATAGAAATCAAGTCCTCATGTCAATGGTTGCTTTGAGCCTCTAATTTAGTCTTAAAGCTGACAGTGGTGCTGTAAGTTGCCACCTAGAAAACGATACTTTCCATCTCAGAACATCTGCACACCCTGATTTAGCTCTTATCACTGTGGTTGTGCCTGTTCTCACCTGAGCCCCATACTGAGCATGGATTCTCCTTTGGATCCATCCTGGGGCAGTTTGCCTCCTTCAAACTCTGCTGGTAGGCTCGCTGGGAAAGGTGGTAAGCACTTCTCCAACGTTTTCCTTATAAGTTGGATACTTTCCAGTTGTAAATGGCAAGGGTAGGGGAGGAGACAATTCTAGATGATTCTTCCAAGCACGAGGTGTGATTGTCTCATTTAATATACTTACTGTGCTGACAGCGCTGGCCCACTCCACCTTCCATGCCACTTGGGGACTGTCCATTGTTCTCTAGTGTATGATTAGCAGATTAGCTATCATGTAGGAAGCCAGGAAAATGAACTCCCAGTCAGCCCTTCCAAAGCAAGAATAATTCATTACCCAGTCTGATTTCCACTTAAAATGTACTTTACGTACACTTCCAACTACAACCCCTAAATCACCCTGTGTTCACAAAGTCCATCATTTTTTATTTTATTGCATGGCGTTGGTGTGACATAATCCCTTGCAGAGAATCTCAGAGTGCTTTACAGATCAATAAATTACTTACCTGCACAGTTGAAGCAATGCCTGCAAGGCCAGTGCAGACATTCTGCAGGCAGCCTGTGCTGCAGGAAGCACGCAAGGCTGTGTGGTGCCAAAAATGGGCAGGAGCTGGGGACTAGGCAGCTGGATTGGGTCACCTGAAGGGAACAGTGCAGTTAAAGCTCTGCGAGTAAAATACATGAGCTTTTCTTCTTCAAGAGTTCTGTAGTAGAACTAAGAAATTTAGAAATGCCTATGTCATGGAGTCGGTGAATCAGATGCTTAGTCACCAACATTTCAACTGCCTTTCTTCTTGAGAGGCACATTCTGACTTTTAATGATCAGCCTTCAAATTACAGTGTTAGATTATAAATGTCCTAGATTGTGGAGCAGTGAGTGTCCCATCCCACTTTATTTCTGTCTTACTTATTATTTATTTCTATCTTAATGTGTAGCAATGAACAGATAGATAGGGATACACACAGAGAGACACACACACATGCACACACAACCTCTTTGCCTAAAGTTCCAGGTGGATTTAAGTCTAGAAATGATCAGTTTTGTTTACTGTATGAAAGACACTGTATGCATGAAAATGTAAAATTAAATGATGAAAAGGTTCTTTTTTAAAACCTTCTATTGAAACATAAGGGGTAGAAGTTCATCCAAATGGATGCATGTAGTAGGTACCATCAGACAGAAGCATGTGAGCACACACAGCAATGAGAACAGGAGATAAGGGAATAAAATACAGCACATGATTGTGAGCCATGAGTATACTGCATGGATGGAGTACAGGATGTGAATGGAAGAAAATGATGGAGAAGGGAGAACAAGGAAGAAAGCCCAGAGGACATACTTTCATCATATCCCTTTTGCAGAGAAAAAGGTCAGGCATGTGTATGGATGCTATAAATATTTGTTGGACTTCTGCTGTGGATACCTAGGTGAGGAAGGCATGGCTCAGGCTCAGGCTGTCAGCAATGCACAGATGACTGAACAAGTGACTCCAAGCAAAGGGATATAATGTACCAGAATAAATCTATGATTAGACTTTGGGAGCTCAATAAATGACGTTGTTACTTCATCTGCTTGAAGTACAGACCATTTGACAGATTAGACAAATGAGTGACCACATGGAGAATCCAATTTTTACATTGTCTGTGGTAAAGCTGACCGTACAGAAGTAGGCTCAGATTTAAAGCAAGAACAAGCTTCAGTCATAGGTTCCAGCATGAGATAGGGTACTTAGTTGTGGCTTGGCCAGGCTGCAGGGAGATTCTTCTGTGAAGTACAGTAGGAATAGCACAACAGCATACAGCTGAAAACAGTCACGAAAACAGAAGCCACGTATGCAAGAGTCCACCCCAACTTTAGGCATTTGGAAGACCATTCCCTTCTTTGCAGGGGAGGGGTCAAGTGATATATCATATCATATATCATATCATTTATCATATCATATATCATATCATATCATATCATATATCATATCATATCATCTCACTGATAAGAGTGCCCGATCATTTGTATCTAGTATGTTCTGGAAACACAGGTGAATAAGCAATACTAAATTTGAGTTGACTGACAGATAGATGGCAAGGAAAATAACAAAGACCTGGGACTTAAAGGATTATGTACAAAGAATGTAAGGAAGAGTATAGATCCTTTATGATGACCAGAAAGAGCATGGTGTGTTGGAGACAAAGCATGGGTGAATGGAAATGGAGTCCACTTGAGATTCCTAGGGGAAAATAGTTGATGCTTGATTCTTTTTGAGTGACCTGTTATGTTGGCCTAGAGAGCATGGTTATCTCAGCTAGGCAACATGGTTGCCTGGTTATCTCAGGAATCTAAGCTATTTGGATGGAGATGTGCTATAATCAGAACTGCATTACATAAAGCCACTTCTGGATTCAATAAGAAGAATGACTCATGGACCCGTGTTGGAGGAGTCAGGGCGGGGAGGTGCAAGTAGAGACAGGAGTATAGTTGGAGGAAGAGTTGCTGCAGCATTGCAGTCGAGTTTACTCTCCAGACTCTGTCTTAATGTTTAAACTGGAAGCTAAATTCAAGGTAAGATGTTTTTTCATGTTTAAGGTATTTTTTCTAATTTTTTTTTATTATTTACAAATATAGCCGATACATTTCCTTCTTTGAGTTATTCTATCAGTTTTTACTTTAAGACAACAAAGAGATCTGTCAGCGGGATTTTTATTTTGCTTTCCCCTGTTTTGTCTCCACAGTATCTCCCAAAATTGTAGAGATTTCTTCAGACATCTCCATTAACGAAGGGAACAATATCAGCCTCACGTGCATAGCCACAGGTAGACCGGAGCCTACAGTAACCTGGAGACATATTTCCCCCAAAGGTAAGAGCAGCAGTCACGAGACATAATAGCCATCTTGTTTGCCACAAATGGGAGGGTGCGGTGCTGAGTACTGAGTCCAAGGGACTCTCTGGGAGCCTGATCAGTAACTTCAACTCATAACTGTGTAGATATGATTGTTGTTCGACGCAGAGTGGCCACAGCTGTGATACTCTCGGAAGGTTGTATCTGCACATCTGTTTGCAATCTCATGGAGAGGAATTCCTCTTGAATCTAGGTGGAAGGGTGGTGAGGACATTCTGTGTGAATGTCTCACATCAACTGTAATGATGGGAGGGGCTGCGTTGGTGACATTGTACAGCTGGTGGTTGAAGAGATAGGAAATACAAACACATAAGGACAGATGAGAGCTCTAAATGCCATATTTCTAACAAGAAATTTCCCTGATCTGTGCCTCTGCAGCATTGCCAAAAATCTAGTCATTAGCTGTTTTTGTGGTTTCCCTGTTGCCTTTCTCTGATATTTCCTAGATAACAAGTATACCATAATGCGTGGCTAAATTGCAAAATTTACGTTGCCAAAATGTTCAGATGTTATGAAGACCAAACTGAGTGATTTGTGCTTTGAAACCTTTAGGAAGTGACAGGGTGTCACTTATCATTAAGATAGCTTTTATTTGTTATCAAAGAACATAATATTACTTTACTCATTGCCAAATATTTATAGAAAGTGCAATCATCCAGACTGTTCTAGAAACTGGAGAAATTAGCCATAATCCCAAACTAACAAATTTCTGTTCTTGTGAACTCATATTCTCATGAGACAGGTGTAAAAAGTACTGGTTAAGGTTGAGAAAACTGAGTAGTATACATTGATAGAATGACAAGGAGTTTAGTTAAGAAATAGTAACACTGGAGTAACAGCACTGATGAAAGTCCTCAGTTTTGTTGCTGATCAGTGGCTGATGTCTAAGGCATGTATATAATTACATATGCATTTAAGTATATGCATGTATGGATTGATAAAGGCATGTATATTGCTAGGTAGAGTAAAGTTAAGGATTCCAAAGGAACCCTAGTGGAGGTTATTTGCTTGTTACAGGCTGTGTGACCCTCACAGTAGACTTTGAAGAACATGAAGTGAAAGAAATGTATTAGGGTTGCTCTTGGGATCAGCTTCTGTAGAGGAAAAAGGAAGGAAGCAAGTTTGGGGAGAAGGAGAAGGTGAGCTGTGATATGGTCTATGGAAATATTCTAATGGCTGGGTAGGACTTCTGAAGTACAATGGCCCTTCTGTTTTGTCTTCTACTGAGATAATGGGGCTGACCCTTTACATCAACACAGTTCACTGTTGAATGTAGACTGAATAACTTACTGGACCAGGCAGACTATCTTTTTTCACAGCAGAGCCCAAATAACAAAGGATTGCCAGTTTCCGGCATGTTCTTCACTGAAACTTAAGAGCCCCATTCTCAAAAGTGGTAGTGCTTACACAACCACCTATTAAAAAAAAAAATCAGTGTTGAACTATAACAGCCTCAAATATGGACTTTCCCTTCTGACAGTACAGTGCACCATGATAGACAGTCTCAGAAGTGTGGCAAGTTCAGTGATACTTGTCCTGGACTCTGGGGAGCTGTTTGGCCATCATTCCTGATGCTACCACTGGGGGAAAAAAGGACAAGAGAGAGAATTGCTTACATTTTGGCCAATTTTTCCTTTCCAAATGACCTTGTGTATGAACTAGTTCAAGTCTGGGAGGAGGCCTCAGCTGTGCATGAGATCATGAGTGATGGAGAATGGACCTGAGACACTTGTAAAGGCGGAGCTACCTAAATGCACAGGCTTTTCAAGTCCATACCCCCCATTCATCACAGCTTAATTCCACTGAGTCCCCAGTGCTGTCAGGTGCTGGGCCAGTCTGCCTTTTGAAACTGAAGAACATTTATCGGCTGGGGTAGACTTTCTTTACCAATGCCAAGAGACTCTGTCTCTTGTTTGATGCCCTTTCTCAGCCCCACATCTGGCCAGCAAGTTCTTTCTCTTTGTCTTGATGTTTTCATTTCTTTCTGCTCCATATACCTTCTTCTGCCAAACCCTGTTATGCTGATGCCTTCCCTACACTTTTTGGTTTTTCCAATTTCTCTTAAATCTCTTAAATATTCTTACTTAATTTCATTTTCTTCTTCTACCCCCTCCTTTCCACCCCTCCCTACTTCCCTTTAATTTGATGCCTGTTCTGCTGTGTTCTGGGGTCCTTTGTTCCTCCTTTTGTGACCATCAAGTTAATTCGCTTCCCTGGGAGATTTTTCACCTGAGCCTGGGCCAGATGCTGCCACTTTCCTGAGGTTTTAGCTGCTATGGAAACAGAAGATGGATCAAGGGGAGAGGAGCAGGCTGATCAGAATCTACCTGCAGATTAGAGTAATTTAGATGAACAGCTTTGTCCAGATCTGGGGCCTAGATTAGCTGTCCCACTTTCAGACTGATGAGATATGCCAAGCTGAAGCTAATCACCTCGAGACTTACTAGGGAACAGTGTTCTTAGTGATGATTCTTTGGAGATCAGAGATGTCATTGAGCTGCCACCAAATCTGAGCTGAATCTAGAGATCCTTAGCAGTCAGGCCTTCATCTGTACATACTAAATGTTTCTAAGAAAGTGCTTATTTTAAATAAACTAGGGCAGGCTTGGGGCTCCTGGAGGAATGATGGGCACCTTTGCTGAATCACCAAAGACAGTGAGCAGTTGTCATCTTTTGTCCCAGCGCTGAAACAGATCATGTCTCAGTCAAATCATTCTTACATAGACATTAAACTTTCCCCAAAGAATACCTAGTTCAGGCACTTGGGGCAATCTAATGACTTCATCCCATTTTCTCCCTCTAGACTTAGCTGCTGGTTTAGGGCACTTTTGAAAAATCCTGGTTTTTGTCTGTCAGGAGTCATCCAGTGCAGCTCACAATAATCTCATAACCTCTTTAGAATGAGTACTTCCAGCCATGGCCACCTTCTGTGTGCAAAGAGAATAGAGAAATGTGGACCATCCTTTCAGGAAGGCTCCTGCATGTTGATATAGGAATGGATGTCTGTTGGATAAAAGGGCCAAGAGGGCTGTCCGGGCCATTCATCAGTTGTAGGAAATGCCAGATTTCCACAGGCAAGATAGAGAAAAAGACAGAGTCTTTGAAGCTGCCTTTTGGCACAGCCATTCTTCGTGCAAAGTCGTTTTTTTCCTATGTTATTTATGATGTCATGCCTTTTCTATTTCCTCCTCAGGATCTACCACTCCTAGAATTCAAGAAGAAAGTAAACAGTTTTCTAGATAAATGTCCTTATCCTGCACATCTGATTGGGATGTGCACTTATCATATGTACTTGCATGGGCCCTTGTCTTTTCAGGAGGAAAAGTTACCGTTCCATGTCCTCACAGGAAAGAGCTATGTCTAACTCCATGAAAAACCCAAGCTAAAGTCCTTATGAGGGTTAGTGTGTGCTTGTGCACTGTCAGAGAAGCTAGGGACTCTTCCGAGGATGCTCCCTGCTTGGGACCCTGTGCTTCATCCTTTGTGTGTATTTAGGAGAGAAAGAATGTGCTTTAACACTATCTTATCCTCAGAGTTTTGTCTGTTTGCGCAAGTGTTCTCTTTTTAATATATCCTGAACACACTCAAAGTAGGCCACCCCACTCTCTACAGGCAAGTGTTCTCATAGTCCTGGCATCATTTAATTGAGGGATCAGGGCTTTAGAGGAACAGTTGGAATTCCTACATTGTCACATACCTGGCAATCTATTTTAAGCTCAGGTAAAGGTTTGAGTCCAGTCAGGAACCTGTAGACTTTTTACACCTTTGGCACCAAGAGCCCCTGAGCCCTGATAGAGTCTTCTAAGGACACCTCTTTCACCACTTTTTTTTTTTCCATCAGAACTCTTGGCCACTAAATCCTCACCTAGGACACGCAAAGAGCACCCCACACAAAGATGAAAGAAGAGGCATTAAGAAATTCCATGTTGCAGAGATGTCCCACATCTGGTTCATTTGTATCATCCCCATTTTGAAAGTTCTTTGAGAGTAGGGTCTGTGTCTCACTTTTCTTGCATTCTTCACAGTGTGTGCGCTGGCTAGAGCCTAGATACCACTCAGGGTATACTGTTGGCTTGGTGTATGTCACTGCTATTTGCTATCACTCCAAAAAGGCATGCCTCTTCTTTCAGTGCAATGCTCCAGCCTTACTCTTGAGGGCTCTCCTTCACCGTGATGTTTACCGGGCCTGGGGGTGGGGGTGGCATGTTCCTTACCTATCAAACACCTGGCAAAGCTCCAGGACATTTCAATGCTGGCCTTTGGAGGCTCTTCCAGCCTTTCCTCATGCCCCTCCAAGGGAACCTGCTGTAGTGGGAACCTCAACTTAGGCTGGAAGAATAGGCCCCTCTTCAAGTTAACTTTTGCAGAAGTCAAGAAGGCTAACAGTGGCTCTTGTCAGGGTTTCCGATGCTCTCAGGTCCTTGGCGCCATCACTCTAATGAGATGTGTGTTTCTGAAATATGTTCTTCATCCTGCTTTTTAGTGACAACCTTCTACCACTTACTGCCTTCAAGCCAGTCATGTGTGGCTCCAAAGCACAGTTTCTTAAAGTAAGTGAAAGGACAGTAGAACCTATATGAAAATGTGCTGGTCCTCTAGATCAAGAAAAAGAAAATTATTATTTTAAATCCATCCCTCCCTCCTGCCATTCCCATTCCCTTTCTCCTTATTCTTGGTGTGTAAATAGAAAGTAGGCAGGGAATTGAACATTTGTCTCAAGGGCTAAGAACAGAAGTGTGCCCATTGAGTTTCACCCTTAACAGAACATGGAATGAATACCTGTATTCACATCAACATAAGTTCTGCATCCATTGCATCATCATAACTTCTCCATCCATGTTAACAGTCTTCCTGCAGTCAGTCTTTCTTCCTATGCTTGAGGAAGCCTAGTGGACGATTGATAGTCCTCATTTCTGAAAAAAAAAAAAAAAAATGAAGTCAACAAGCTGCTGAGAGTG